CTGTCAGAAATCATAGCACGTCAGCTGTCTTAACCGCGGCTTGTGTACTGCATCATCACTGTGTCAGTCACGCGACTCTGTTGCCCTTTCGGGCTTGAACTGATGGTAAAACTAATGACATTATTAACTGTCTTGATATTTACTTTGAAAGCTGAAGCGATTATGGTAAGGGGCGTTACGTGCTTGTGGTGTTCGGCCAATCACAATGCACTGGGTCAGCTGGCCAATCAGAGCAGACTGCGCTTGTCAAAGGAGGGGGCTTTGTTGAAAACGACTCATTTGAGAGAGGCAGGGCATAGCGGACCTACAATAATGTTCAGTATTTGAAAAAGAATGTGTTTTTTGAACATTAAAGCATGTCAACATATTCTGTTACACCAAATACACAAAATAATGATCTTTAAATTAGCATCATATGACCCCTTTAAAGCACACATAGCTATGAAGTCAGATATTCCAACATCAGTACTTCCATTCTTAGGCTCAAACTTGCCTCTACAACAACCATTTCTCTGTGTGAAATCTAAGATCTAAAAAGTACAAATAAATACCATGGACTTACTGTATATAATTAGTGTGTTTCAAACATGACTGCCACCACAACAACATACACACCATTTTGTCAGTTTTGCAGGATATTTTGTGACTCATATTTAGTGATATGATTAATGCAACCTGTCTTTTAGCAATGTGTCAGCATTATATTTAGAATCGTTACATCCTGTTCTTTGTGTTCTTGAAGCTTACTGCATAAACTTTGGTCTTCATTTGTACTCTTGACTTCCTGCAAAGCCAAGGTTTACTCAAAGGTGCATGCCTCTTTTTTAAAGTACTACTTCACCAAAAAAAAAATAATAATAATAATTGAATCACCTTTATGTCGTTCCCATTGACTTTTATTGTATGGACAAAAATAGTTGAAACAATCTTCAAAATATCTTCTTTAGTGATTCACTGAAAGTCATACAGTTTTGGAAGGACATGAGGGTGAGTAGATGGCAGTTTTATTTTTGAGTGAACTATGCCTTTAAATGACTTTAGAAATCAAATCTCTGAAGAAAATGATTTAATATAATATAAAATATCAACACACCGAAACCAAAACAACATACAACTATTTCATATATTTCTGTATAGCAAGAATGAATAATTCTAATTACCAGTTTCTAAATTGGCCAAGCTGGATTTTCTGTAGTATTTAAACCTAACTTTAAAATGTAGTTTGGTGGTTGCTTGTCAGACAATGTACATGCAAAAATATCAAGTATCTATCTATTTATGTAGACAGATATATCAGTAGATAGATAGATAGATATGATTAAAGTTGAGGCTTCCGCTGTCTTTGTCTCATGCATAGGCAAGTGTGGGTTTTTGCAAAAGCAAGATATGAAACCACAGAGCTCCAAATAGAACCGCAGAGGGAGGTCAGG